TTGGCAAGTGATAGGAGGGACTTTGTGAAGAAAGAGGTCAAGGACCTACTTGAGGTAGGTCATATCAGGGAAGTAAACTACCCTGAATGGCTGGCCAATGTAGTCCTGGCTCCGAAGGGTGATACCTGGAGGATGTGCGTAGACTACACAGACCTCAACAAGGCATGCCCAATGGATTCTTATCCTCTCCCCAGCCCGGACCAAATGGTTGATGAAACTGCCGGGTGTGAGTTGCTCAGCTTTATGGATGCCTTCAAGGGGTATCATCAAATCTTCATGGCGGAGGATGATGAGGAGAAGACGGCCTTCCTCACTCCGGACGGCACATACTATTACAAGGTGATGGCCTTTGGGTTGAAAAACTCAGGGGCAACTTACCAGAGAATGGTCAACAAATTGTTCAGGCCTTTGCTTGGACGGACCATGGAGGCCTATGTCGATGATATGCTGGTGAAGAGCAGGGCAAGCGGCACACATGCTCAGGACCTGGAAAAATGCTTTGAAATTATGGCTAGGCATAATCTTAGACTTAACCCGAAGAAGTGCGTTTTTGCTGTGAGGACGGGGAAGTTCTTGGGCTTCATGGTCACGAAGAGGGGGATTGAGCCAAATCCTGAGAAGATCAAGGCCATTGTTGAGATGCAACCCCCAACATCGGTAAGAGATGTCCGGAGGTTGACAGGGCGCCTGGCGGCCCTAAACCGATTTTTATCCAGGTCGGCAGAGAAGGCTTTGCCTTTCTTTAAAGTATTAAAGAAAGCCAACACCTTCCAGTGGGATGATGAATGCGCCAGGGCATTCGAAGAGCTGAAGACGTACCTGACTTCGGATATTGTCTTGTCCAAGCCAGAAACAAAGGAGACCCTCTACCTCTACTTAGGGGTTACTCAAATGGCTGTTAGCTCGGTCTTGATGAGGGATGATGGGGTCCAGAGGCCCATCTATTATGTAAGCAAGGCCTTAAATGGGGCAGAAAGTATGTACACTCCTACAGAGAAGGCAGGGTACGCACTTTTTATAACAGCGAAGAAACTCACGTCGTACTTCCAAGCCCATCCCATTGTCGTATTGACCGACCTACCATTGGGCATGGTCATGAGGGATTCCACTTCATCGGGAAGGATGATCAAATGGGCCATGATGCTTACCCAATTCAACATTGAATATCGTCCGAGAACGGCGATAAAAGGGCAGGTCGTGGCTGATTTTCTTGTAGAGATGACAGGTCACCAACAAGAAGAACCGGCAAGGACGATCGCAGAGCCTTGGTGGTCCATGTCAGTAGATGGAGCCGCTGGACCGAAAGGTTACGGTGGAGGTGTGGTATTCACAACTCCGGAAGGGTTCAAGGTATATCATGTCTTGATCTTTAACTTCAAACTCACAAATAATGAGGCGGAGTATGAGGCATTGATAGGGGGCCTGAGATTGGCCAAAACCCTACAAATCACATGCCTCAGGATCAAGTCCGATTCAAGCTTGGTGGTAGGCCACATCAATGGCAACATGGAGGCCAAAGGAGAGAAGATGCAGAAGTACAGAGACTTGGCAAGGGCACTATTGAAGGATCTGACTGAGTATGTGATGGAGCAAATCCCTAGGGGGGAAAACACGGATGCTGACTTGCTATCAAAATTGACGCAAGCAGCCCCGGAGCATGTGTCCAAGTTGGCCAGGATTGAGACGCTGGAAAAGGCTAGCATTGAAAGGCTTTCTGTGAGCCTGATAGAGGAGGATGGACAGCCCAATCTAACCCTGGTGGAACCTGATGATATTTGGATGGATGACTTGGTCAAGTATTACATGACCGGGCAATTCCCTGAGGATGAGGATAGGGTAAGAAAAGTAAAGTTGAGGGCT